AGCCACGACTCCGTGATGCATCGACTGTTACGACTGTGGGGGGTGTCCGTCGACTTGCCTTCGGATTCTTCTCCAGTCTCACCGTCTGCGTCGCTATCGTTATGACTGCGGGGGGATGTTGAGTATCGTGATTAGTTAGGAAACATAAGATAGACTAGGAATTATTCTGGCTTGTCTTGTACTCCAAATAGATCGTATACTCCTATATATATGCCCACGAAGCTCATGCAATACATCATATTCCGCAATAATTTCATCAAATCCCTCTCTCTCTTCTAACAATACCCGCTCTGAAGGCCCCCATGTGATCCCTTAGCACCGCTCCACCATCCGCCTTGTCACCTGTTTTAGAAGTCGCATAGTTAGTGTTCTTTGTTTTTCTTTCTTTCCTTTGTTTTCACCAATTTTTTTAGATTCTTTCTTTATTTCACTGGGTTTTTCTTCCTTCCTTTTTCCCCTTTGTTTTCTTCAGTTTTTTTCTTTCCTGGTTTTCTTTTGTTTCTTTTCCTTTTTTACACCTTTTGTCTCTGGTTTCCTTGTTTCCTTTTTTTCATCGGTCTTCTTTTGTTTCTTCCTCAGATCTCTATTTTTCCTTCCCTATAATTCTGTGTTTTTCTTGGTTTTCTTTGTTTTTCTTTATGTTGCTTTGTCAATTTCACCATTTTTTGTTTTCTACAACACATGTCTACTTATTTTTCAGTGTACACATTTTTTTTCGAAAAGGGTTTTCAGTGTACACATGGAACATTTTTAATACACATTGTACATTTCTCATACACACAATGTACATTTTTCATAGAAAGATGTTATAAACACTTTTTTGAACACATGGTCAACATTGTTTCAAATACACATCGACCATTTTTCAACGACCTTAAACATTTTCCAAACTACGACAACATTTCTTTGCAATGCATAAACATTTTTAAAACTTTCACCAACATTGTTTTTTGAAACACGTGAATAATTCTTTTAAAATGCCAAGTTTATTTTTAACGGCAATAAACATTTTTAACTCCGCAAACATTATTTTACACTGTATAAATAATTTTTAAAATGTCACAAACATTTTTTGAATGCGAGAACATTTCTTTGAAATGCCATGTACATTTCTAGTGGTACGAAACATTTTTTATAGTAAGCAAACATTTTTGGTACATTGTATACACATTTTAAAAAATCATACATCTTTCTGACAGAAACATTTTTTTCATCGTCACAATATCTTTTAAAGCTATCAACATTTTATTTAGAATTTCGCTAACATTTCTATACTGCATTAACATTTTTAAGTAAATATATTTTTTCAAAATATTTCCATTTAGAATATAAATAAATAACGAAATTGGCATGATGTGTGAGTGACATATGTATGGTGAAACAACGTCCTACTAGGTCAGCCCACCACCGGCTCCCTGTAGGAGCTGCACACGGGCGAGGTTGCCTTTCGCCTTGCTATAAGCGAGGCATAGGCGTGCCGTCCTTTTTTGCCCCTGAAACGGTGAATAAAAGATCCCTCCTCCTCCTACCTCTGCCAGAGAAGGTTGCACGGTAGCATGAATAGAGAATGCTACACGCATGTGCAGCCATGGAGCCACCTCTTCCCCTCCATATAGGACTTAATTAATTCATCCTTTCTACATGGTTTGGACATGAAATCACCAGATACTTATACATAGAACCCATTCAGATAACTAATTTCTCACTTGAGATGCCTTCATCACTCCAACTTCACGTGGTGCACTGGATGCCACTAGTTGACATTGATCGTCCTATTCCTCCACCTCCTAATTAAAGAAAACCCGAGGAGGGAACTGCATGTCTCTCATTCTCCTCCTCCTCCACTTTAGTTCATAAAGTTTGTCCTGATAAGTTCTCTATAGCCCGCACCATGCACTTCTTTCTTAGAGCATCTCCAACAGGCGCCCAACGCGCCGCGCGGTAAAAACGGATTTGGCGCGCGCCCATCGCCTGATTTGGCGCGGCGCGCAGCGTTTGCTCCAGCAGCCGCGCTGAAAAGCCGCGCGCGCAGCTCCAGCAGGCGCGGTAAAATGCAGCGCGCGCTCATTCTACAATATTTTTTAAATTAAAATTACATAGATAAAAAAATGATGCAAAGATATTTTACATCGGTGCAACTACTACGGCATAGATATATAGATAAAAACTACTACGGCATACATAGATAGAAAACTACTCCAAGTCGCTATCATCACGATCATCACTCTCGTCGGTGTCGTCCGAGGTTGAGAGCCATATGCCGTCCCAGCGTTCATCGTCCGAGGTGAAGAATGACCTCCCACCTGCGGAGACGATGTCGCACTGCTCGTTCGCCACTGCCTTCCGCTGACGCCGGTCCGCCCGCTCCGAGCGGCGCCTTGCCGTCCTCTCCGTCCAGTAGGCACGCTCGGCGTCGACGTCCTCTGGGTGGCGACGGCGCCACTCCGCCATGGCTCGCTCGTCCTCTTCGGCGACGAGGAGACGGCGCTGCCGCCGAGAGTGGTCGGCACAGTTCATGTCCGTGATGAGACGTGGCGGAGGGGCGAGGCGCTGCGCCTCCTCGCGCATGAAGACGTCCCGGAAATTCATCTGCAACCGGGGCCTCTACAAGCGCCACGCCGCCGCGTCGTACGCACGGGCTGCCTCGCGCGCGCTCCGGAACGTCCCGAGGCCGAGCCGGACGTCGCCGGACCGTATCTCGGCGGAGTACCAGCCGTTGGGACGCTCGCGGACGCCGCGAAAGCCCGAAGCACCCCGGCGGCGCGGCGGCATGGTGGCGCGGTGGTGGCGCAGAAAGCGGCGAAGCGGCGAGGTTGCGAGGAGGAGGGCGCGTGGCTGTTCTGTGCGCGTGGCGAAGCGCGGGACTTTATAGGCGCGCGTGAAGCGGCGCGCCAAATCTACTGCGCCGCGTGCCGCTTTCTCCCGCGCGCGCGCAAACGCTTCCCGCGCGCGGTAACTTCCCGCCACCGCTGGAGTGTGCGGAACCAACCGGCGCGCGCGAAAAACTGCTTTTACCGCGCGGGCACGTGTTTTGCCGCGCCTGTTGGAGATGCTCTTAGTACTATTGGTGACTTCATTGGGCAGGCAGTGGCGGAGCGAGGAAATTAAGATTAGGGGGCCAAATGACTCAATTTTTTTAATGCAGGGGCCAAAC